TATTTAAGGTTACACCTGTCATTAGCTGCGTAGACGGGCCAACGGATAGGATAACATAGTTTTTAACCCTAATATTTAACCAGTTTCTGAAACACATTCCAGCCTATCTTGCGAATACCCAGATGTTTTTGGATCGTCTACGTACTGTGCAGCCCAGCAGCGCGTACGTGATGGAGTCCTTCGACGTTACCACCCTCCATACAAACGTGTCGAATGACTCCGCAATGCAAGCCATATGCGAACTCCTTATACAACACGAAGGAGAAATAAACATGTATGGCTTCAAGATAGAGCAGTTGATGTCACTATTAAAAGAATGAGAGCAGTTGAGGCACACTTAAAAGAATGCTTGAGCTGCTTAGTCTTCAGATGGTCCGGAAAGTACTACGCTCAAATAAGAGGGTTGGCAATGGGACAGCGACTGGCGCCAAGCCTTGCCATTGCGTTTATATCGAAGGTGGAAGCACCGGTGATTGAGCTCGGGCCGATACTCTACTGTAGATATATAGATGACTGCTTTGTCCTTTGCTCAACACAAGAGGAAATGGACAAATGTTTCGAGTTGTTGAATAAACAGTCAGAGTATATCAAATTCACCCGAGAGAAGCCGAAAGATAAATGGTTTCCATTCCTGAACGCCCAAATTAACCTGTCGGAAAATGGCTACATTACGAAGTGGTACCGAAAGCCAAGTAGTAAAAACATCTTAGTACATTACCTCTCTTCTCACCCCTCTCACACAAAAAGAGCGCTTGTAAGAAGCATGTTTCGAACAGCATCCAACGTGTGTGCGGGAAGAGAGCAGAGAGAGGAGCCCAGGAAGTTGCCGCGGCAAACAGCCATTTCCAATGGCTACGAAACTGTAGCTCGGGATAGGTGTACGGGAAAGCGGAGGCCCCCAAACGACAACTGTATCGATGAAAAGGTCTTATTTATCCTACCCTTCATCTCAAATGATGCGAGTGCAGCTATAAAACGCTGCTTGAGAAGGGTGGGTCTAGAGGATTCGGTAAACGTAGCTGAAATACCACCGAGTAATCGCCAGCTAGTTCGTTACCGCCTATATGATCGTCTATGTGCAGTGCAAAATTGCATAATTTGCTCCAGTGGTAAATACGGTGATTTCATGAGCTCGGGTATAGTTTATCTGATCTCCTGTAAGGCGTGCAGAGACGAATACATTGGCAAAACGGGCAGACTCTTCTGCGTTTGCATAAAGAAACACCTAGCCGGCAAACGTAAACCAAATACCCCGCTAGGCAAATACCACGTATAGGATCCAGAGACATAAAGGAGAGGACTTTGAAGTTCGTGTCACAGTCCTCGCACAGGAAACAAGAACGCAAGCGCGCAAAACTCTCGAGGCGATCTGGATTAATTCCAGAAATCCGAAAATGAACCGCAGGGAAGAATGCCTCATTATCACGCGTGATATTGGACAGTATTTAAACCCGTTATTCTGATGGGAGGGGTACATTACGCTTCCATGTGATTTCTGTGGGGTTGGTCTTCACGCGACATAGTGGAAGACCCATAGAAAGCGGTGAGTGCGCAGAGCTGTGTTAAATGTGATTGAAATCTTGGTTTAGCGTTTTCCTTGTTTGGTTATAGAGGTGTTTGTCCGAATAGATTACTGTCAACTTGATCTTTCCAGGTTCTGAGGAAGGCGAAATCCGCCGAAACGTCAGCTTGTACGTAAATAAAGAAATAAAATAGCACTTCATGTTTGCTGAACAGCAGTAGAAAGAATTGTTCAATTGATGCCGAGGTTAATAGAAAGTCGGACGTGGGAGTTTCCTCTATGTTATTCTATCCGGACAATAGGCAAGGAGTCGACGCTGGATCCATATATTTATATTAGAGCAGCATCGTAGTTATCCTTCTTATGAGAGTCGCTATGGTGAAAGTCTTTGTAACAACAGAGGTCACTGCGAGACCTAATGGGACTGGCAAACTCGTCCAATTGGCAGTTTTTTTTTTGCAGATTTCGTTTAATAGAAAACAGCTTTTCGTAGTCGAATCCGAGGAAAACGTTCATGCGGAAAATCGTTTCCACTTTATGCAGATTCTATAGAAAAATAAGTAGAGAAGGTGCTTAAAAGAGAAGCACAAACATTAGGGCCGATGCTTTTGCACAGTGTAAGGTCCAAAAGGCACCAATAATCGCTTTTGCATATTCTATGATATAAACGATTTCATACAAATATGTTATCCGATATTGTTTATTGCATGACCTTATAAGCTGACCTTCTTGAGGTGATGCAAGGTTGGTATAGGTTTTCGTTATCGCTGTTGTTGTGTTGTTGTTGGTCAATGGCTGACGTTTCAGTGATTTCGCCTTCCTCAGAGCCGTACTCCCACTCGTAACAAATGGCACTGAGGAAGACGAAATCCGCCGAAACGTCAGCTTGTACGTAGATAAAGAAATAAAATAGCACCTCATGTTTGATGAACAGAAGTAGAAAGAACATAGAGGTAAGTTACTAATGAAAAGCTCGCCAGATTCCTTTGCCGAGAGAATGGACACTTCCGTTGTTTACACTGAGAAAACTAGGCATCTGGTCTAATCTCTTGAATTAAACGATGTGGACTCACGTCGACATGAAGCCAAATCTTGTGCCTCTCACAGATATCGGCCACCTTCTCAATCGGATCCCAAGCTCCGTACACGGTAGTGCCAGCAGTACAACATACAAAGAGTGGTACAAGTCCTAAACAGTCGTCAGCTAACTTACATAAGTAATCGACTACAAGGCAAGAAAATCTATTAGGCCTGTAAGCAAATTGTACTGATTGCTTAGCCTTTCATCCGGGCAGTGATTTAATTTATTACTCGACTGAGTCCCAAGGCGAGCACATGACTGAAATCTACAGAAATAGGTAGAGAAGAAGCTGACCATCTTTCTTGCTTTCGATTATCTTTATCTCAAGCGCTTCTGGAATCATTTTTCCAGCGTTGTCAGTCGGAATGTTGAAGCAGAAGTCGGATCCAATTCCACAAACGGCGGCTGCGCTTTTGATTGAGTAGTGACTCTGAAAGAAGCTCTTTTTTATGTGACTAACTGAAAGATATCATCGTATTTTCCTCAATTTTTAAATCACCAGAAAAAAAATATGGCATGAAACAGTCATCCGTCTTTATTGTTATTCCTTTGTGTAAACAAAAATTAACAGCCTCCTATAAAGGATTTCGCAGTATTACTTGCTTATTTGGGTGATTTATCCTAACTGGATCTAGCATGTCTATTCGTTTTTGTTTTCCTTGCGCTATCGTCGTCTGTGGTGTCTATTAATACAGAGAATGATATTGACTTCGAGTACTATCTCGTAATCGTTAGCTTCGGAAATAGGTCACCCATCATGTAAGTGGTCATCCTGGAAAACTCTTACATCCTCATAAAGTCCACTCTGCTGTTCTTCTCGACCATCTGCCACGAACTCTCTCCATTAGGTAACCGATATTTCTACGTCACATTTTCCACACATATTTCTGTAGCTCTTGAATAAGATATAGTTCTAAAGGCCTGAATTACGTTGTTAGGCTCAATATTTCAAATTTCGGCCATGTTTCAGAAGCATCGAAAAAGCGCTCGTGGATGGTGCGCGAAATCCCTAAGGGTGGTTGAAGTGTCAACCAAGGTCTCATCTCCAGTGTAGAACGCTGTTAGCGCAATCGTTGAGTCAGAAAGATTAACGTGGTGCTGTGGCTCCGTCAGTTAAGCGGTGGCTATTCTGAGAATCTCGAACGGACTCTACATCAATTTCGTTCCTTTGTTAGATTGTTCTTCGCATGGTTTTTCATGCCCACTGAACATCGTAGAAAGTTCCCAAGATCGACTTTCTCTTAACCTCGGCATTGGAATATGAATGTGTCGTTTTCTTGCTCAGCAATCGCGAGGTTTTTAAACAGCATACATTTACTTCCATAAAAACACAATACAATACAACGCTAGCTGACGTTTCGGCAGTATCGCCTTCTTCAGAGCCTGGAAGGGTATACTGATATACAATCTACTAGGCCAAACGCTTCAATAACACTTACAAGAAGACGAAGAACTCTCTGGCAATTACATAATCAACAACTTCTCGAAAAACCCACCGCTTTTTCGTGACTTCCAATGAGGAAGTTTAGAACAGCTGATTATAGTCGCATGTGGTTGACGACTGCACCATATTTTGACGACCATGACGATTTTGAAGTGAAAGTCAATATCCTTGCACAGGAGTCCAAAACACCAGCGCGAAAACTCCTTGAGGCTTTTTGGATCAATGCCAAAAGCCCTACAATGAATAGCAGGGACGAATGCCCGGAGATCATACGCGACCTGATCTCGTACGTTCGCATCGATTTTTGATGTGGGATGGTGCAGTCGTCAACCACATGCGACTATAATCAGCTGTTCTAAACTTCCTCATTGGAAGTCACGAAAAAGCGGTGGGTTTTTCGAGAAGTTGTTGATTATGTAATTGCCAGAGAGTTCTTCGTCTTCTTGTAAGTGTTATTGAAGCGTTTGGCCTAGTAGATTGTATATCAGTATACCCTTCCAGGCTCTGAAGAAGGCGATACTGCCGAAACGTCAGCTAGCGTTGTATTGTATTGTGTTTTTATGGAAGTAAATGTATGCTGTTTAAAAACCTCGCGATTGCTGAGCAAGAAAACGACACAATCGTAGAAAGTGTTAGCTGCAATCAGAGAGCCACCATTCATTACGATTTGTTGAACATCGGACCATGGGCTTAGCGTTAATTGGGTTCTTTCCCGACGAGCAGCTCTTGCTATAGAACTTCGTTCGGACTTTTCTCTTACATGCTCATGAAAAAAAATAGATCGGCTAAGAGCAGCAGATTTTAAACCATGGGAAATACGACGGTTGACTTTTTGCGTCTTTTAAATAGAAACCCTGTTCGGTTTCAACCTCTGTTGTAAACCCCAACTTTCGCTCGCTAACTGTTTTCTCGTATCACTAATCACGAAGGAGAGAATATCCACTTGTCAAGGATATCCGAACATCAGAACACTGATTTTCTTCATCAACAGATTTCTCCATTTCAAGCAAAGTGTTCCGAGGAATGGTAGCATATATAACAGAATTTAATGCCAGCCACAAACATTTGATAGATGGGCTATTGATCTTTCTAACACTAAACATGACCAAATTTCAGCCTGGAAATATTCAAATGATGATTGGTTTTCAGTTTATATTTTGTGGTCTTCAAGCTAACACTTGGCTAATCACAGGATTCACCTCCATCGCAAGAATTGTTATGGTTATCGAAGAATCTTAGTCAAAAGATCACAAACTTTGCTTCACTGCTCAAACTCCAGCAACTTCATGTGGTGATCACCTGAGAATCAGCCCGTCTGCCTCGAGGTTCCAGGGAAAGCTTGCCTAGACCAGCATTCAGTGTGTTAGTGAGAGAAAATAGCAAATGTTCAAGCTGATGTCAAAGCCACACAATAACTGCTCAAACCCCGTGGATGACAAATCCAAAATATCGAAACGAATTGAAGAAGTGCTGGAATTCGCACATGAGGACGGGCTTCAGGTGCAAGTAAATATTCAAGTGATCGGTGTGACAAATATGCTTTCTTGTTTTCTCACTTAGCTCATACTTTACTATATTTATCATCATTTGCACTCCAGTGGATAATGAAGTCACTCGATTGGGATGAGAAAGTAATACATATTAGTGGAAAATTCCTGTCAAACTTTCGTTTCACCAGCGATATCGTCATCTTCTCAAGGAGCACCACTGAAGCAGAAACGATGATCAACGAGCTCAACGAAGCGTAGAAAAAGATAGGACTACAAATAAATCGGAAGAAGATCCAGTTCATAAAGGACCCTTGTTACGAAGGCGAACAGATTGAACTGGATGGCTCTCTGGTTGCAGAGACCACCTCGTACGTATACCTTGGGTGATCAAGAACATGGAAAACGCCTTAAAGGAAAAACTAGACAAAAGAAGGAGACCAGTTTGGGCCGCATTCGGGCTTCTCAAAGAAGTCACCGACCAACTGAAAATCTGCGCCCACCTTTTCGATTAAACGGTCCTTCCAGCGCTCTGCAATGCTGCAGAGACGTGGGCTGATACTTCAACCACGTCAAGAATACTGCACACTACTCATAGAGCGCTTGAACGATGTCTTCTGAAACACAACCGGCACTCTCAATGTCTAGCCGGAATGTGAAGCTCTGATCTTCGAAATCGTTCGTGTTCGAGATCCAGGAGAACATACATCAATATCGAAACATAGATAGGCCGGTCACATGATAGACAACTGATGGACGAAGAGAACTGTAGAGCGGACACTACGAGAATACATGCGTCCCCTAGGATGGCCCTCTACACGTTGGACGGACCTCTTCGCAACCAAAGTTAATAAACTGTACATTGCAGCTGCAGTTATTTTACATATCATGGCACAAGACTCGCACGTGCCACCATGAATAAAACCACCACGATGAACGACGAGTGCGAGGAAAGGAAACGAAGAGCAAATATTCTGGGGTCTGCACAATCCGCGAAGACGGACCGTCCAGGTATCCAAGTAAGTAAGTGAGTATCATCATTTGCTGCGTTTGCTACTTAAATATTTGAAACCTTTGTTGATTCGTTCAGTTGGTGAAAAATTCAAAGCTAAAAACCAGAATGAAGATATAATGGCTTTTCTTACGTCTTCGCTAGTGAACACACAGAGAGTGGGGACATCTTTCAGTCCGACGTACTTGCTGCGAGGGTACAGAGCATGTCTTGCAGTGCTCAACGCGTACAGATTTGCAATCGCTCCTCCTGCAATACAGTTAATAAATCATTTCCACTTGCTTATTTATAGGAGGTACTTAATTATTCAGTTGTTACTTATTATTTTTAGCTATTTTTCTTCGTTATTAGGAGGAGAATAGCACAGAGCTAGTAATGCCGACAAGCACCAGCTCGGTGCTGGCTCGATCCCGCTCCAGGATCACCAAGCCTCTCACCCTCCGGGATCGTGAAATTGGTACCGGACCTATCTGGAGAATGTTCACTCTCCGCAAACCAAGTAGGAATGCTCTATCGCAGCTTTCTCAGGACTCAAAGGAAAATCGATTCGACCAGTATTCAACGACATTCATTACGAAAGGGTAATCCCCAACCACCACCCAGAACCACATGCAAAATGTCCAGAGATACCAAAGGATGAGAAAAAACGAATGGGAAATGTGCTGGTATCCGCATAGCAGATGTGAAAGACAGGTCGTATAAAGGAAAATTCATTTGTTATTACTGGCTAGTTAATTATTTCTTTCAAAGACAGTGATTTCGTTGATTACCAGCTTTGCGGCGGCAAACTAGATGACCTGGAGGTTCACCGATAGCTAGCCTCCTGAAGGAAGAATTTTAATGTTTCCCATAAAACTGACTCCTTAAAATAATGAAACCTCAGCGCTACCTTCTTTCTAATGCAAACATAGTTGCGTGGTAGTAGATTCCTGCATAGTATATTTACAAAGAACGACGAATACTTGCAGTGAACACTCGGAACCGCGCGAGTGCAGCTAGCAGGAAACGGCATAGAATTAACTTGAATAAATATGACACCACCTTCGGCACGCAGCATGCTAGATGGTCAAATCTACAACCGCAGGTTGTGGCAGTGATTTCTAGCTGATTTGAAACTGCCTGCGAATTTTAAACCATGGAATGGAATTCACGGAGGTTTCAGTATACTTGGTAAGAATTGTGGCGCGAGTGGCGCAGTGGTCGAAGGCGCCCTGCAACTGGATCGATGCCCGCGCCCTTGGCTTACCAAGTCTTCCGTCCCTCTGGGGTCGGCAAATTGGTACCGGACTCGTCAGAGAGGATAGCAGCACTGGCTCGATACATCGGTAGGCCACCGCGAGTCATTGTAAAGACCAGATGTGGATTCAATCACCTTTAGCGATGCTTAATAAAGTCGAATGCATGGCGCATCCCTTAGGGATTGATCAACGCCGAGAGCTGTATCTATCCTCTATGGTACGAATCACCACCTTGGGAAACAACACGAAAGTCTGGCTAAGTGGTCATTTATAAAAACGAACTATCAAAGCATCCAATACTGGTTAGCATTTTAAAAGTTGTTCTAGAGGCCCATCGTTGAGCAGCTACCCTCTTCTCCTGTAAGAGGGTACTAGAATGCATTCAGAAGGGCTTGATGAGCTAACACAAAGTTGTCAATACGTTTTATTTCACAATGGATAACGCTGCGGAGAAGTTCGTTTTCTTCAAAACAGCTTTCAGCTACCTATATCTTGGAAAAGTAAACCACCCATACAAGGAATGAAATTATCAACAGCGACAGCATATATGCCACATTTTTTGTCCTTTTCTTTCAATCTTACAATTCCTCGAAAATTTTAATCTTTAACGGTGTTCCTTCCAGCATATCTAGCTTAGCGTTTGCAATTATTGTGGAATACACACGTGGTTGGTGGTTAGATTCCCGTTCTAAGTCGATCAAGAGTCGGCGGATGGGAACAGACTTTTCTGGAAGGTTCAAAACACTAACATAACACATCGTTTGACTCCCAAAAACATCGTATAAGTTCAATATGAATTCAATCACCTCCACGATGATACAAATAGGGTCGAATGTTTAACGCATCCCTAAGGGATTTAGCAATGGCGGACTCTTTGTCCCTATTCTCTAATGGTATTTTCTTACCAACTTCATCACTAATTTCATCATTATTAATTGCTCGTAAGTGCAGATATCTCATTGTGTTTTATACCTCCTAAGTAATAAAATTTCCTGCAGAATAAAGGCCTTAAAGGATGAAAGGATAAAGCTCTCGGCGTTGATCAATCCTTGAGGGGTGCGCCATGCACTCAACTTCATTAAACATCGTTTGAAGGTGATTGAACGCATATCTGACCTTTACAATGACTCGCGGTTGTCTACAGATGTATTAAGCCAGTGCTGCTATCCTCCCAGACAAGTCTGGCGCCAATTTGCCGAACCCGGAGAGATGGAAGGCTTGGTGGGCCATGGGTGCGGGAATCGATTCCACGTGTGTTGCTGGGCGCCTCCGACCACTGCGCCACATGCGCCCTGCAACACGCACGGCCTTACACGTAAACAATATTACAAACACAACATTAAGTGAAAGAGCGTCGAGAAGCATTATGACATTAGGTGGACGATCAATCAGATTTCTCTTTTTTTATTTATTTTACAAGACATCATGTCTACTGTGCGCATGCGGATCTCCAAACTTGCATTCAATTCGTTTTTCTTCCCATTCATCGTCCACAAAGCTCTTCGAACATTTCCTGTCGTTTCGGATGCTGCTTGAGGATTTCATCTTAGCTGTGATTGTCGTAGAATGCTGGTAGAGTCGATTTTCCTAACAGTCTTAAATATAGCTGGGCTACGGCCTTCCTACGTAGGCTGGAGGAGGACGTCGGAAGGAATCAAGCCAGTGCATGGCCTTTTGGTGGAATACGCTACTAAGCACTGCGCTAGCTGACCCACCTCACGCCCATTTGTCTCCTTTACTAGAGAGTATTTAAATCAAACTAAATTGGCAAGCAAAGTAACGAAGTGGGCAGCCTATTTAAAATTGAGTCGTCAACCATATGCGACTGATCAGCTGCTCTTCCTCGGTGGAAGGTACGTAAAAACGGCTCTGAAGAAGGTGAAACTGCCGAAACGTCAGCTACGATTGTGTTGTATATGCGTTATTGCACGGAAGTATGCTGTTTAACAACCACGCGACTGCTGACAGAGAAAGCGATGAAGTGGGCAGAACCCAACCAAATATTGTTGGAAACGCAACACCTTCTACGAAGGTTATGTTATCATATTTATGATTCAGCATATTCAAGCAAATGCTTTACCTATAAAAAGTTCAGCCTTAAGATAAAAACCACAAAATTGACAATTTTTTAGGACTTAGTTAAATCTGTTTTAAAATAAAAGAACAATGGGTAACATTAAAAATGCGTTTCTTACCGAACTAAAGATGTAAATGTCGTTAAAGTAAATGAATCCAAAACTACTGATGAGTGATGGCTATTGAAATCATTCCGCTCAAACTTAGAAAATTAAAAAATAAAGTGAAAGAAAACCCGGAGCGAAAATCCCGTCGGCCGTCTCGACATCCCATCCGATGGCTTCCCACATGCGCTTCATAACAGCCTTCTCCATCAGAATGAACACGGGGGCGATCTCGTATGTGAACCTGAATGAGAACTACTTCAGTATTCGCGTCCCATGAGCTTTCAAGAAGTAACATGGCTCTCTAGCCGATTTTTCTATACAATGACAAGCGATTTTTATGTCGACTTAGGTGATGAAAAAAGCTCACATTATCATCAAAAAGATAGCAATTTACTGAGAGCGGAGATTAAAGGACGTTCGAATCACGAAGACGTTCTGTTTAACGACTAGCACTTGAAAATTTTTCAACAAGTCAAATCCACAATAACAGATTGGCCAAACTCTCTTATGGAACATGGATATGAAGCTAATCTCTATGAAGTTAATGAGCGAATTGAACTTAATCTCCAAAAACCTCAGCATTGACGCAACCTCCGAAATGTCGATTCTGCGGTCAGACAGCTAGAGATTAGAGAGAATTTGAGAAATTCAACGGAAAACGTTAGTCTATTGAGTCGGACTCTAGTGATCTCACATAGAACTTACATGTTTGTATTTGCAGTTGCCGTCAACCATTCGCCAGCCATTGAAACCAAGTCCAAACCGCACGATATCTGGTAAATTCAGAACGACATTTGTGTGGCTCTGTCTTCTAGGGTAATAAAGACAAGTAATTAAAAAATGTATCTTTCTTACAGAAAAGGAAACAAGTGTATAAAGTATAGAGCTTTCAGCGCTGGTCAATCTTTGAGGGACGCGCAATGCATTACACTTCATTAAGTATCGTTAGAGGTGATTGAATGCATATATGGCTTTTACAATAACTCGCAGTGGGCTACCGATGTATCGAGCCAGTGCTTCTATCTCAGACAAGTCTGGTACCAATTTTCTGACCCTGGAGGGATGGAAGGCTTGGCGGGCCATGCGCTGGGATCGATCCTACGTGTGTTTCGAAGGGCACCTCCGACTACTAAAAGTGAAACAAGTTCAGGGACTAAAAAAAGCCTGAACGAAACGCGATTACTAAGGTATATGGCAGTTTTCGTATAGCTCAAAAGGGAAATTTTCATACTTTTGGTTTCTGGAAAGTCTCAGGAAGCAAACATTTTCACACTGCGTAGCATTTAAAAAGGATGAAACTCTCGACGTTGATCAATCACTACGGGATTCACCGTGCATTCGACTTCAGTTAGCATCGTTTGGCGGTGATTTAATGCATATCTGGTTTATACAATGACCCGCGGTGGCTTATCCATGTATCGAGCCAGTGCTCGCATCCTCCCAGCATGTCTGGTACCAGTTTTCTGTTTCCAGAGAGTTGGTGAGCGTGGGGCGCGGAGATCGATTTCATGTGTATGGCCGGGCTCCTCCGACCACTGTGGTACACGCGCCACGCGCATAGCACCTTTAAGATTTCCTATCTCTCATACTACATTCTTTTCAGATTGTTTTATACTAATCGCTTGCTTCATAACTATAGAAATAACCAACGTACTGCTTCACTGAAAAACTGGCTAACTTGTCAGTGGAATAAGACATCAATTGTTCATATCGATGCTCAATAAAAGTCTCTATATGGAAGAATGAGAAATAATATTCTTCACGATTGATACGGTAGAGTCCTTGAATTAAAGGAGAAGAGTGGAAGCGGTGAAGGAATGTTGATACGGTCTAAGCGTTGTCAACACTTGGAATGTTTGAGGAAACTTATTTCTTAACCCTCTTATTTACTACCTATTCTTTTTAACGGCAGAGTATGTTACGAAATATAACTTCTATAATGCTGAGATATTTGCAAAACTACGGACCGCAGGTGTTTGCGATGGGGAACGAACGCGCTATTGTCCTTTCCGGGGAGTAACGCGTTCACCACCACATCACGCGAGCTCTTCGTTTCGCCTATCTCTCAGCTAGTTCTATCGATCCTTTGCCATCAGCAATCACCCGATTTGGACTCCCCAGATAATCCCTTTGACGGGTGATTGCTGATGGCAAAAGATCTATAGAACTAGATGAGAGACAGGCGAAACGAAGAACCCGTATGGTGTGGTGGTGAACGCGTTACTCCCCGGAAAGGACAATAGCGCGTTCGTTCCCCACCGCAGACACCTGCTGTCCGGAGTTTTGCAAATATCTTAGCATTATAGAAACTTACTTCTTTCGGAGAAAAAACGACATATGGCGGATGGAGACTCCACTAGTGTTGTCTCATTGTTCATACGAAAAATATGAGCGATTAACCTCGATCAGTCACAAAGGAATACTCCATGCAGTCGACTTCACCAAGCCACCATAGTGGTAAGTGAATGTGTATTTAGCTTGCATAATAAACTATGTGAGCCTAATGATGCATCAAATCGGTGTTCGTCTCCCATAATATCCGCCATCAGTTTTGGGACCCCCGGAAGAACGGCGTGCTTAGTGGGTGCAGAGCGCGGGTCCTACTAATGATCCAATGTGTATTCTAAAGCAGTTCTAACCACTACGCTACACTCGCATCCACTATTGCATTCCACTGTAAGTAGGAGATCCTAAGAGATCATACCTGATTGAAAAATCTCGGATGTCCGGTGCGTACGCCAAGCCGCAATACCTCTTCGCAACACTGGAAAAAACCATTTTACCGTAACCCTTTTTTTCATTGATTACTACTCGGATTATGGAGGCGTCTGGCCGAGTGGATCGCTGTCAACTTGACCTTTCCAGGCTCTGAGGAAGGCGAAATCTGCCGAAACGTCAGCTTATTCGTGAATAAAGAACAATAACACCTCGCGTTTGCTCAACAAAAATCCGAAGAATTACTCGGATTAATTTCTGAATTTCATTTTTCACTCCTGAAAGCTATTTCTCTCAGAATGAAAAGCTTAAACGTTGGCACTAAGTCTTTGTTTCGGAGACAACTACATACGAGTCGATCGGTTAATCCTAGTATTAGAAGTGAAATCTTTGACGGCTACACTCAGAGATAGTCGATGATACGAATAAAAAAATTCTGTAAGAACCGAATTTGTCGAGTCAGTTAGAAGATGAATTCCTCTAAAAGTGACTTTTAATCAGAAATGGGGATAATTCCAGAAACTACTAGCTAATAAGACAAAATGTCATCGAAAATTCCATAACTATTCTGTAGACCTCTTGTCCAATTTTTAAGTAGCAGTTTCGATGAGATGCTTCCTTATCCAGCATTACTTTTCGCCATCTTCAAGTCCTTTATGGCTATATTGTGACGAACAGATTTTAGAGGATGTCGACAAGGGATTCACGGCGCTCTTATGTCGCTCTTCTTTCAAGTAAAGTGAAACAAGTTGAGCAGTTAAATGTCGTCCGAAAATCCACCCAAAAGCAAATCTCTGTGACCAAGTAATTTACTATGACCAACTTTTCTCCAAAAACAACAAAATTGAAGGACATCTAGGAAAAGTGTATTGTTCCATTTTTCCTTTAATCCGTCCGGAGAAGTCCAGAGAGCCGACTCGATGAAATGGACGAATGGAAGCCTCGCAAGGTCAGGAATATACTCAGTTGATAGTTGGCTTAAACACTAATTTACTCAGTGTTTGTACAATACGTTTGAACTCCCCTTTTCTTAAAACCCTTGGGTAGCTTTGATGTCTATCTGTACTCTTCATTCAGCTTTTTTCGGCAAATATAATCTGAGGCAAATCTAAGAGAACTGGTTAAACGTCTTTCGTTTGCACTTAAGAGAATCGGTTGGTGGTCGAAAATGTTGAAGAGGGCAATATTCGAGGCGAAATCACGCAATAACCACCATTCGACGAGATTGCTATTGAAGAACATTAAAATCTTTCCTTGAAGAAAGTCGTGGAAGGAGTGACATACCAATTCATAACTGAGAAAAACTTTTTCGTTTGCAATATCCCACTGCTCTGTTCTCACTGAAATTTCTTCTCAGAGGAAAAAGACTTTTTACTATATCTAACCCGATGTTTACCAATACGTTATTGCGAGAATCCCATATAAAAAAATCTTCCTTTTTGACTTTTTCCAGTCTCATATGACGACGAATGAAAGGAAGGTTTAAGCGCAATGAATCTCCTCGGATACCTCACCTTCACCAGATGTTCGAGGTTCTGCGGTTTCTCGGGAATATCGAGGTCAATGAGCTGTAGCATTTCAGCCGGATGGTGGAACTCGAGGATTTTATTTGTACGGACATTCTCCTCACGAATATATTTTAGTAGAATCTAAAGCCAGAGAGATTAAGGTTCTAAAAAGGCAAATAGAATAAAGAGAATAACAGAAAGGTAAAGGAAATGAAAGTCAAAGAGCATTCGTTTGTAGAAACAGCCTTCTAAGTGTTTTTATCTTCACATCCTTCATGTTTAGTGAAAAACAGAGAAGCACACAGGAATTTTCATACATTATTCTGTATGTATAAAACTGGTACAGATTTTCAATGGCAGGGTATTAAGTGAAATATAACCACAATGTTGATGAGATATTTACAAAACTTCGGACCGGAAGTACATGCGGTGAGGACCGAACACGCTATTACCCGGGGACTAACACGTTCACCACCACACCATGCGAATCCTTCGCTTCCCTTGTTTTTGAGCCTGTCCTCAACTGGAACAGAGATGTAGCTTCAAATCAGAAACTAAGTAGTGAGGCAAAGAGGCTTGTAACTAGATGGAGCTAGGATTTGGCTCCAATTTCAACAATTTCCAACTTTTCTTAAAATTATTCTGAAGGGAATAGAAACGAATGAGTGACCGTATCAGCAGCAACCGTAAATGTTGGTGCTCATGAAACATGAAAAAAATGAGGGCTTTTTCCAGTTTTCTACAACATCCACTAAGAAATGGTAGATATCGGTATCTTGGTATCATCTCTCAAGTTGTAACATCAAGAAACTCTTACGCCTCCAGTATAATGTTCATTAGCATAATTTTAAACAAATCGAGTAGCTTTATGTATCAGAGCATTCAAAGACGCTCATGTTAAGAAACAGCATACCACTAAACGAGCTCACCTTGACGACGCTACGTAAAAATTCCTCGGTTCCTTTCCAGTTGTCAGTCTGAGGAAGAATATCTGGAATTGAACAGACCTCATCAACTGGTCGTATCAATACCCGTTTGTGAGTTTGGTTAGGTAATATTACTGCTGAAAGATCAATAAACCTTGAGAAAATGTGCCCTCTTTAAAGACAAACATATCCTCATAGACAAAGGACACACCTAGAAATCTGCCCCGAAGTGGTTAACGAGAATTACGTATTCATTCTTCGATAAATAGCGTAAACTTTTAAGGTAGATTGTTAATTAGCACTATTCTTGCAATAGGTCGTTATCATAAATTCCTTACGTGTCCTTGTTGTCCGATGAAAAGCTATTTTTAACAAAATGCTCAAATGTAATTATAATAAGCCTTAGAGCAGTTAGTGCTAACAGCATTTCCTCCCTAAGGTCATATAATCATTTCTTGAAAAACCTATCGTTTTTTGGAAGGCTTCAGTTTAAAAGAGACGTATCTTTATCCTAGGAATAACTTGACGCTGCAACACTTTTTCAGCAGCTAGTGCAAGTGTTTGTCCATAAAAAATATGCTCAGAAATGCAACTTCTACTAGTAATTTGACAATTAGAGTTCTTTAAGATAAATTGCTACACTAGATGAAAACTTTTTAAGGCAGAAGTTTAAAATGAAGAGTAACTCGCACCCTTAGCAATCAACTGGCTCAGATCATCGTCGTTGGCCATAAGTGTTGCGATTCGTACGCCTTGAGGGTGAGCGTTAAATGAGCGGCCACATTGTGATGGTGGGCTGGCTTCGCTGGGCTTACGGTAGCAAACACAAATCCTCTTCTCTCGAAATGGAAGCCCTCTCGACAATCATGAATGATGGCAAGAGTTTAACATTCCTTGAAGCACACATTTCTACAAGTACACAAAACAAAAGCATGACGTGTTTTCCGACTGAGAATCTAACGACGAATTTGTGGCAAAACTATTCCAAGCTTCTAATAAATGAGTTCGGCTGATCTTTAACCGATATGTTAGGTAATTACGTGATTCGCCCTTATATCTTATCTTATGCCGTGGGGCTACCAGCATAATTTCCATGTGTCTCCTTTTTTTCCAATATGAATGTGCCCCGATTATAATGTGGGTTCGGCTTCAGCTTGATGAGTTCGCTTCCTCTCCTTATTGAAATGTTGCGTTCGGTGTAATCCCAGCACAACCGCAATAGGGCAATCTGCCTTTGGCATTATCACTAGATATCATGGATCGTAGGTAGGTTTACCTTCTTGCAACTAGGATGCTTTCAAAATAGAGAACGAATTCTGTGATTAGTTGATCCAAAGGACGGTGTGACTAACGTCCAACCGTTATGTTGCACTTCGTCTAGTCAAACCGATTTATATTGAAGTTGAGTAAGTGCGCTTCGGATCCAAGCGTGAAATCTATAATGAAGATTTCCGTCTAACAATTATCTAGTTGAACCTCTAGGGATGAAGTCTATTCATCCGGTAGATTTATAGATCGAGAAACATTTTCGTCTACACGATCATCTTAATACGAAATACCACTAATCTGTTAATGGTTGGTTATCGGAAAAATGCTATGGTAGCTTCTTTGTCATTACAGTAACAGTCAATACACTGCATTCTTCCGGAGCTCTCGTTCCGAGCATAAAGCGATAATGAATAAGGCGCTAGACGTTGATCAAATCCCGAGGGCTACGCCATGCATTAGACTTCATTCATTGCATCGTAGAGGTGATTGAATGCATATTTTACCTACAGCAATGACTAGAAGCAGCCAGCTGACCTATTAATTCAGTGATTGCATCCTCGTAGACAAGTCTTGCACGGAATTGCCGACCGAACAGGGAGCGAACCCATGGTGATCAAACAGCGTCTCTAACCACTGCGCTATACGGTTCTTATTTCTGCAAAAAATTTCGTATTCTTTGTACCACTTAGAAGGAACACGTAAAAAATGAGCTATCAAGCTGAAATTGTTTGCTTATGGCAAACATATTAGCAGGGATTATATTATTGCTAGCACCCATCGAATCGAGTAGGCATAGAATTTTCTTCTGATTATAGAAAACGTCAGCCAAACCCTTAAACTTACAGAAATAATCTTAACCCTGTTAAAAAAGCCATAAATAAAGAGAAAAAAACAGAATTTCTAATTTTAAACTTATTACTCTCTGCCTACTCTTTTTAATGGAAGGGTATATTGCGAAATATAACTTCAATGATGCTGAGATATTTGCAAAACTCCGGACCGCAGGTGTATGCGGTGGGGAACGAACGCGCTATTGTCCTTTCCGGGGAGAAACGCTTTCACCACCACACCATACGGGTCCTTCGTTTTGCCTATCTCTCAGCTAGTTCTATCGATCTCTGCCACAGCAATCGCCATTAAAAAGAGTAGGCAGAAAGTAATAAGTTAAAATTGTGATTATAACTACGGCCTCAGCTTAACTGGGTTCGTTGCCGATTTGGGCCCCCCAGATCAATCCGGTCACAGATGATTGCTGTGGTAAAAATCGATAGAACTAGCTGAGAGACAGGCGAAACGAAGGACCCGCATGCTGTGGTTGTGAACGCGTTACTCCCCGGAAAGGACAATAGAGCGTTCGTACCCCACCGCATACACCTGCGGTCCGGAGTTTCGCAAATATCTCAGCATCATTGAAGAATTTCTAACAATAGCAGTTGGCGCTTAGATCTGAAAGAGGTAAATGGCAATCAACGCAAGTCGAACTGAGTCCACATTTTGTTCCTTCATTTTAATCCGTTGTAGAGCTTAATGATAATTACAACGACATCTCCGTATAGGGCCAGCTTATCACGAATAGCTCTCAACTTCTACGAAGTGATACTAGTAATGCCATGGATTTGATGTTTGTTGTGAATTTCTACATAAAGTTTTTCTCGATGTATTCCAAAGGAAGAGTCACCCTGAGAGCTCCAAATTTGTAAAACATTTGTTTTATTTCAAGCTATTCGAATACACTGCGCGTAATTTTCTGCTGCGATAATCCCTTCAACACCTTTTGAATTGTTAGACTAAAACGAGATTCATAAAGATATCTATTCGGCCATCATTTCGATGTCTTCGTCTTCATCAGTGCCGATGACTCGAGCCGATGGTCTGCAGTCGTTCGTTTTCTCGATGTGATGTCTTCGTCGTCCTATCGAGTCCAATCTTCTCCAATGGAGCACCGCCTGAATGAGGCAACCTCGTCAAACGGCGTACTATACAGACGGCTATTGTTGACAACGACTATCAGTTGGTAATAATTATTAAATATTTTATTAATGCTTCACTTAAGAACCGACTCGATACGACGAGGAAGAAACCACATCGAGAAGACGAAGGACTAGGGACCACCAACTCGGACCATTGGCTCTGAGGAAGACGAAGACGTCGAAACCTTAGCAGAACAAACATCTCTATCAACATCGTGTTGAGGTTAAATGACCGTCGGTTTGAAAAATATCCCTTCAATGTTGTGCGTTCTGAGTTTAATACAGTTTTACGAATTAGGAAAAGCTTTATTTAATATAAGTTCGAAATTCTTGTTCTCCCTAGAGTATCTTAAAAAAGGATGAAGCTCTCAGCGTTGATGAATAATCCGTGAAGGATGCCATGCATTCGACTTCATTAAGCATCGTTTGGAGGTGATTGAATGCATATCTGGCCTTTTCCAGTGCTGCTATCCTCCCAGACAGGTCTGGTACCAATTTGCCGACCACGGAGAGATGGAAGGCTTAGTGGATCATGGGCGCGGAAATCGATTCCACGCGTGTTGTAGGGCGCCACTTCGACATACGCACCCCTCTAAGGGTATCCTTGATACCAGAGTTTTTCAATCGTTCCGAAGTTTGTGCAATATATGAAAATTTCTCAGTCCATTTCTTAAAATATTTATACTTGGAAGAAAACCACTAAAAGGTAAAAAGGACACGTCCTGAAAGTTCTTCATTATAATGATAATAGTCTCCTCTAATCTAGAATTTTGCAGCTTAATAATGCTCCAGCTTTGAGAAATACTACAAAACTGAGAGGCGCATCCGGGCACCACTGACGAGTTCTAGGACACCATTCGCTATAAGGTCGAAATTCTTATCTCGTCCATTTATTTCATACTTGAGGAAAGAAATGAAACGGAAGAGGTCTTCTATAAAACGTTCATTAGCCACTGTAAGACAAGAAATAGCAGCTAAGAGGAACCTATAACACAACGAACGAGAAACGACCTAAGACGTAGGAAGAACTAATACACACGAATCCTAAATCCCTTCAATAAGAAAAAATACCCAAACATTGCAGTTGGAATGGCGATGATGACCAAGTCTCTCATTTCTCATGTCAACTATATAGGAGAATATATGATGAAAAATGAGTGGCCAAACAATATCACAATAAACTGAGTAACAATCAGCAAATGAAGCCTCAAAAGTCGTAGAACTAATAGAAATGTCGATCAGTACAATAAAGGATTAAATCACTATAATCACTTTGCTCTACACATCAGGCAATATTTTGTCTTCGACACTGAAAGCCAAATGAGAATTAATGCAACAAACATGGAACAAGTAAAACTCTATGAGAACAGGAAAAGAATCTACGTCAATGGGAACAGCGGAGTGTTAGTGAAGTAGAACTATGTAGTAGAGTAGTAACAAAACATGAATCATATATGTATATTGTTATGACCAGAGATAAAGGACACACAGTGCCCCATAACATGCGTTTGACTCAAGAAAAATTACTTTAAACAAGTGGAAATGTGAGCATTAGTAAAAGCGCTGGAAGAGGGGTTAGCGCGAAAGGGAATGGGGGCACGAAAAGAGTATCTGGAAGCCCTTTACAAGTCTAGTATTGACTTCCCATCAACGAAATCAATGGGGACTAGTCGAACTTTCAGTAACGCTGTAAAGCCAAATCCCGTTTGTAATCTCTTTTGGACTGCTTTCGGTTTCTAAAGAATATGAGCCCTTCTTCTGAAAGCAATATCTGAGCGATAGCAAGGTGTGATGATATAATGACCCAAGAACGTCCGACTAGATAGACAAACACAGGCATAAAAACGATTCAAGTTAAGAGTTTTAAGAAGACGGTTGGGTATAGAGTAAATTTATACCTATTCAACATCGCCATACAACCTCACACCGCTCAATTGCAAGAGCACAATGAGTAGGGGGTAAAAAGAAAACAATATGGTCTATGACAAAAAGGAAAAAAATTGACATGGAAGGTTCAGAATTTAAGCAAAGTATACGCCTATATATCAGCTAATTATATATAGTGCACACTTTCTATGTAAAACCAGTTGTGCCATACGGTTTTCTTTAAGGACTTGACTTCACAACCTGCACATAACGAAGCTCGGTAAGATATATAGTAGGGCGATAGCTTGAAAACTCTTAGGCCTCTTTCTGTTTCTGCCTATCACATTTTCGCTTGTGATAGCGCTGAGCCAACGAATTAATTATCGACAACAGAAAGCCCAATATCATCAATGTCACGACTGTTCCAAGAACTGTCTGTAGTGTAGAAGTGGTCTGAAATGAAAAGTAAAACTCACCGCTAGGTGCACACTGAAAAAAATGATTTAGGAGCACTTAAATTGAAGCAATGGAAAAATTTCATGGTGCGGAACAGCGATTCCATATTCACGCGAACAGATCGCTAGTTTGACTTCGAGCTTTGGGCCAACCTAAACTTTCTTCTAGTCTGCCTGTTGTGGCGCATCCACTTGCAAAAGTTAAAAGTTGAATTTTCCAGCGTTAGTCGCTAACCACAACAGATACACTTTTGCCGTCTTATCAAATTAGAAGTGCCATCCGAAACGTGATCGAGTATATCCCAATGGAACTCGTTAACATCTAAAACCACTTACTACCAGGGTTTTAGACGTTGAAAAACCCTCCTAGATGACTAGAGAATTTCAAACGTTAGACTTAAGGGACGACACCAGAAAGATAAAAGAAAAACAAATAAAAACAAACAAATAAAATAATCGTACAAGTCCAAACGTTTGAGAATTTCTCAGTAAAATCTAATCGGCAGTTAGGAAACTTACTAGGGTTTGCTGCCTTCAAAACACATTCGTTGCAAACTTCCAAAAAGGCACTTTTTATCATGCCAACATTAAACTCTGGTTATTTTGAGCACAAGAATTGTTTGTTGTTGTTAAGGCTTTCTTTGCGTTTTTAGTTTGCAATAGCGAAGTGGTTGGACAACCATAATAGTTTAGCAGAATGTTATATCTTCTTCGAATTCATCGGTGATATTATACGTTGCTGCGCTTGGGTCAAAAATGTTAACGTTCAAAAACTTGAATTGTAAGGAAATTTAAATCATAATAGCATTTTAGGAAGAGGAATATTTGAACTCTTAAAACGAGTTGGCTCCTACTTGTCTGATATACCTTCAACTATTCCACTGTTCTTGCCTTCAAAAAATTATCTTCAGCTGCAAAGAAAGCAGGACTGTCGTGAATGTGTTAAATATTATGACGCAATAAAATCGTACAAGCAAGTAGAAATACCAAAATAGATAAAGGTTTGTTCAAAACGCCGAACCTGTTCGACATGTGTTCCTGGAGTCCTGTGAAGTGACAATTTCTGCTTCACTAACATTTCCCTAATAGGCTGCCGAATCACATCACCCACATATGGAATTTTTCCCATTTGATGAATCAGATTTTCCACATGGTGTTCGCTGAACGCGATGATGACAAACAGCATCTAAAACAACACTTACAACTTATTGAATATTTGTTTTAAAAGAACCATTAAAAATTTTCGTAGCGAGACAAGAATGTGATCTCAGTAAAAACTCGAATAAACAATGCTAAGAACTTTAAACTTTGACTTATCACTATTAACTATATAGACTGAAAACTGCCCGATATTCCTACCAATGTATTTTCCTGTTTATTAAGCACTTTAGAGATCTACAGAAATCCAAGCCTAGAAGATTCAACTTAGAATACTATCATAATAATTGCTACTTAAAGCTATAACGAGAACTCACTAAAAACACATCTTTCTCTCTTATGTTCACTTTATGACCACTTTTATTTTTGGAACAATTTAGGCTCCTAACTGACTTATATAATCCTTATAGAACAGCATATCTCAATCTATCTTCACTCGCTAGGAAAATAACAAACTATGAAAATACTAATATATGGAATCCAAATAAGCCCTCACCATCTTTATGTGGAAAGAACAAGTTATTTCATAAAAGTTTACGTGAGTCACGAAAAGCTGTTGGGCAGAAGTACCCAAAGGCACGAAACACTCAAAGGGTTCCACTGCACAACACCTTGCGACAAAACGAATCCTGAGTCACCGAGGGTAATAAAAAAAAAGTAAGCATAGCTTATTCTCCTAAATGTTCCACAGTAACGTGCGTAGTGGTAGAGATCCCTTTTATTACGCGGATGAGTCTACCCATCAAGGCACGATTCCGCACCGGGCTCACCAGGCCTCTCATCCCCATCTCATCGTAACAGATATGAAGATGGCTCATGTAATAAATAATAGCAGTAATAACAATAATTTAATAATAGTAATAATTTCGAAAATTTTCTTTCGAGAGCGCGTATGTCGAAGTGGTGGGAGGCGTCCTGCAACACACACGTAGAATCGATCGCCGCGCCCATGGCTCACCATGCCTTCCATCTCTCCGGGGTCGGTAAATTGGTACCGTAGTTGTCTAGGAGGATAGCAACCCCGGCTCGATAAATCGGTAGGCCATCGTGAGTCATTGTAAAGGCCAGATATGCACTAAGTTACGTCCAACGATGCTTAATGAAGTCGAATTCACGGCGCACCCCTCAGGGATTGATCAACGCCGATAGCTTTATCCTTTTAATAATTTCGAGAAATCAATGCTTAGGAATAAAATTAAAAACTACGGAAAGGCTATTTCGAGATGGAAAAAACCCAGAATGAGATTCAGAAAACGCCAACAAAAAAAACGAGAAGCCAATTTCTCACAAGAACGTAATTTTTTACGTTTTTTAAAATTAACTTCTTCCACTATTCTTCATATCAGTGATTAACCTCGTCCCTTACGCCTCATAACAGTGAACCTTTCCACTCTAGGTAACCACTGTTGAAAATCTGTTACAAAACAGTGAAGCATAGAAGCACTTCTAAAAGAATCCGAGTGTGACATAATATAAGTCAACAAAATGTGGGCCAAAAATTACTTCTAAAAGTTGAGCAACTGTATAAGCACAAACGAAATGATTTGCAACTGGTAAGCGCTCCGTATGAAATGGGTCCCCTCTCAGACGAAACCACTTGCAGTGGAGTATTGAGAAATGGTACATTTAACAGCAAAAACAAACCTGAACATGCATTTTGATAGCTGCTTTCCCCACTAGAGTCGCTCCAAAGAATGACCAGAAAGGAACTAGGAAATGACCGCATGTAATTCCTAAAATAATACAAATAAGGCAAATCTGTAAAAGCTTTAAAAAATTGGTTATATTCGCTTTATGGTGTAAGGTGTAAGAGAAGTCTGATTCGAGCGGCTTCTATTTGGTTCTATGAGAACTCCGGTGTCATTTAAAAATTGTAAAACATGTTAGCAGACACTATATTCTTGGTGCAAAAATTTCCTGATTATAGTGAAAAATATAGCAAACTGAATCCATATTATGATCAAATAGGATTCCTTTATTTTTCCTTGGCCCACGAAAATCAATTACCAAATTAATGAATACGAAACACAAATGTTCCAAACTTGTCAAGCATTGCGTATCTCCGCTTATCACAAATTTAATCCTCTGCGTCCGGAAGAGGGCAAACATGCAACCAGCCAATCCTAACTCAATGTAATTACTTTTTATTTACTGCCTATACTTTTTTCGCGGCAGGGTACAATGCGAATACAACACAATGATGCTGAGATGTTTGTAAAACTGGTGACCGCAAGTATCTACGATGAGAATTTTACCCGCTACTATCCTTTCCAGGAGCTAATGTGTTCACAACCGATCCCTCCGCAGAAACCTGTGGTCAAGAGTTTTGCAAACACCTCAACATCGCCGTGGTTATAATCCTAACTCAGTTACACATTCTCAAAATTACGCACGGCTAGGAAATGAACTTCGGCAATGTCAACTAAAAGTACCGACTATCTGTATTACGTTGACTTGCATGCGCGCATGACCCCACGGTGGGGGTTGGTATGCTAAAGAAAACAAGGATATCAACCTGCTCTACAAAAAGGGTAGCCAAGTGGACATCAACAACTATAGAGCAGTCTACTTAGTGAATAGTGTGTAAAAGGTGCTCTTTCATACACGAAAGTGATCAACAGAAAAGTGGATGAAACAGATTGATTTGAGTGATACTAGTTTGTAAAAAGCACTCTCAATCATGTTTATAGGAACCGATGACGTTACCGTTTAAGACTACACCCAGTTCGACACTGTATCTGAGGAACTCGTTCAACCCAAGAAATAATGAGTGACATAAGAATGGACTCCGATCCTTTGTCTTATTCGAATTCATAGCTTTATAAGAAACGTGAGAAACGAACATAAAATTCAATTTTTTCACCTTTTTATTCAAAATTTGTTTGATTCAAAGAGATTGACTTTTATCCCAAAACGGAGAAAGCATATAAAATAAATGTCCACAGATCCGACAATAATTGAGCCATTCAATTTCAACACATGCAGCTACGCATAATCACGGACTTCTCCTGCGGAACGGACAACGCTTAATTTTCAGCCTTTCTGAACTTGCCGGTTTTTTTGAAAATAAACTATAATTATAATGATGCTGGGACATTTGCACAACTTCGGACTGCAGGAGGAACGAACGCGCTACTACCGTTTCCGGAGATTAACGTGATTACCAGTACCCCATTCTGGTCCGTCGTTTTGCCTTTCTCATAGCCATTTTTTACCATAACGGTGCCACCAGCAATCATCCGTCAGTGGGATTGATCTGGAGAGCTCAAATCGGCATTGAATCCACTTAAGGTGAGGCTGTAGTTGAGACCACAATGCTAACTTTTTTTTACAGCCTACTACAATTTCTCACGGCAGGGTACTATGTGAAATACAACTATAATGATGCTGAGATATATATCGTAAACTAGCTCAGAGAGAGGCAAAACGAGGCACCCGCATAGTGTGGTGGTGAACGCGTTACTCCCGGAAAGGACAATAGCGCGTTCGTTCCCCACCACAGACACCTGCGGTCCGGAGTTTTGCAATTGTCTCGGGATCATTACATTTGTTTTCCACATAACACTTTTCCGTGAAAAACTGTAGTAGGGAGCAAATAAAAAATTAACATTGCGATTTAAACCGTAATTGTTCGATAGCTAAAGCATTTTGTGGGTTGCGAACATGAAAAGATTATAGGAAATATTTTGCTTTATCCTTCTACGGGCATAGATGATAGTTATGGCATTATTTACTATATGTTACTATGGCCCAACAAGCAAACACATTATTTCCACCATTTCGAAGTGTCCTGGAACTTACGGGTCCCTATTTCAATATTTTTGTACCTGCATCATTCACTCTTTACGAGACTATCGTTCACTATAGAAATTAAAGTTGGAACAGTGATCTACACGTACAGTGTGTTCCTGGGTGTCGGGTTGCTATGTACAGCGGGGTTCACTCCCACAGAAGGGTTTCCCAACCTAAGGAGCCCTGAGTTTCTATCAAGAAGTACAGCAATACAAGGATCCACCAACTTCTTGGTATCAAACTAGTCGAATGGTGGCGAATATTCTTCTTATCCACTAGAGCGGCGAATGCTTGGGTGGTGACGAGCTGAGAAAGCTTTCAGCTGACCTCGGGACTTCCCCCATGACCAGTGAATACGGGCCATCTAAGTATGCAAGTAAATAAATGTATGTATGGCATGTGTAAAGTACTGAAATGTATAAATTTTTTGTTTTTCTAAGTGCAGAGTATAGCTTTTCGCGAACAACGCCCAATCCAACACCTTTGTTCTATAAATCTATATAAAATATAAAATCTATTGACATCAAAAAGTAGAGGAAAGTAAATCTATGTGTTAAAATAAACCATCGGAAAGAAAACGACACCAATAGGCGTCACTAGTTACGAGAGTGTCAAATAAGCATACTTTATTCATACTGAGCTCTACAAATTTAAATAAAAGCTCATCAGAACTCACAGATCCTGATCTAGAAGGTTCAACTTTTCTTACTCCACAGCCGTGAAATTCTGACTTTATTTTTTGGTGCCCAAAATGCATAACCTTTTCGTTGAAGCTTACACCTCAAATGCCACTGCGATTAATGAAATGGGTGTTCACTAAACAAAATGCACAATAGCATATAATAACATACAATTTGTCGCCGTTTATAACTACTATGCTTCAAAAAAGTATTAAAAAACATAAATTGCACTTCTAACTACTTCAAGAATTTGGACAATTAAAGACTTTAAAACTAGAAGAGCATTTCAAGAAAACCAATTAGAACATTTTAAGGGCAATCCAGTGACTCAGTCCAATCCGGCGGCAATCTATAAACCTGTCAAAACCTTAACTCCTCAGTTAGTCGAGGTATTAAGGAAAAATATCGGCAACTATGAAATAGCGCATTAGGCGTTAGTTTTAACATGAATAATCCATTGTAAACAAAGAAAACCGTCGAGTGGTCCCAACCAAACTAAATGAGTGAAACCGACATCTCAGGTCAGTATAGGAGCACAGATGCACTCATAGAAGTCACGTCAAAAGTTCTTTTGTTTCGTCTCCATCTCTTTCAATTAATTTCATTGCTAACCCACTATGTGACTAGACCTAGATTATTCATATCTCTAATATAGTGGCTGTCGGCGATTTGGCCACTGAACACTACAACTGGAAAACATTTGAAGTTTTTTATGGCATTCGACAATATGCTTTGATATAGCAGCACTAGTAAGCAACAAGCAACCACACACACTAAAAAGGTATGACGAGGTAAACTTTAGGACTTTAGGAGTCGCCTCCAACAAATAATCTCCACGTCCACTCTGGGAGGGCCTGGCAAGCAACCCGTGAGTATACCCAGCCCCCATGTTCAGAGCCCAGCAAGCTATACGTGGGTATCAAAAATGCTAAACACAGTAAACAAAAAAAAAGGCCTCATTCACCTGACCCCGAAAGAGTCCCCAATTTCGCAGCGTTGGTTAGGACGAGTACGGAGAGGCTGT